GCAGCATTGGTTGAATTGTACGTCCGCGCTATCAACACTCCTGGTGTGATTCCTAATGTTCAGAATGCCTGGGATTCATTTGTAGAGGCAAAATGTTCTGCTACTTTAAAAGATGCATTGGATGCTTACGAAGTTGCGATGACGGCACAACTGAAAGATGAACTACCATGTAATAACGATCAGTTACGTAGAAGTCATGAAATGGCACTACAGAACAGCGAGAATCATTTTATGGCTGACACTGCTGGGATTTCCATAAACACGATCGAGAAGTACCTTAAAAAGCTGAAGGTGAGATATAAAAACAAAGAAAGCAAGATTCAAATAGTCACCTGAGTAGCATAACTCTAAAGAGATCGTAAAATAATTATTTGAAAAGAACTTAATATCTTAAAGTTATTGTAGGATAGAAATAGTACAAAAATTATAGTTAAGCCATTATCAGAAGATAAATAAGGACGGAATTGGGAATTATAGACGGTCAGGGTGGAGTTTAACTGATAGCCGAATATTGGTCAAAGTTTAACTGCCAGATGGCTCATTCATTCATCCATTCATTCATCTACTTCCCACTGTGCGGGTAGTGGATCACTTAATCGTTATGGCAATAAAATTAAGCTCTATAAACACTACCATTATTATCTTTACATGTTAAGGAATCAAAGGGAGAAAATGAAAAAGTAAAAGAAAACTAACTTTTAGAGATAGAAATTAATTTTTATTTTGTTTGTTTTGGTTTTGGCTGTATCTACTAGTAATAACTGATGCATGTAGCTTGGATCCGTGATCTACAAAATTTAACGATAGCAGAGTAATGGCATGAAATATGAACCGCAAGTCCTGTTGCGGCTCACGACTTGCGGTTCATATTTTATTCCAAAATTGCCTTCTCAAATCCAAAAACGAATTTTGCGTTTTTGTTTACTTAACAGATGAATCCAAGATCACTAAGATCATGATACATCAAACAAACCGAAGAATCCACTCTGGGCAAGGATTCTTTGGTTCAGTTGATGCACCATGATCCGAGTGATCTTGGATTCATCTATTTAGTAAAGAAACGCGAAATCTGTTTTTGGATTTAATAAAGAATCCAATATTGGATTTTCTGAAAGAAATGCACTTTATGTCTTCACTTAGGAGTTATTGGGTGAGAGGTTTAACTTGTGGCAGATCAAGAATGCGACCTCAACGAGAGAGTTCTGCAATGACCTTCTCATTCAGCTTAAACAAACACATCTGGACCCAGTCCTTCAACAACTTCGGGGTAAAGGAGGGGCCCAACTTTCTTTTGACGACATCATTGGNTGGCACTACAGAACAGCGAGAATCATTTTATGGCTGACACTGCTGGGATTTCCATAAACACGATCGAGAAATATCTTAAAAAGCTGAAGGTGAGATATAAAAACAAAGAAAGCAAGATTCAAATAGTCACCCGAGTAGCATAACTCTAAAGAAATCGTAAAATAGTTATTTGAAAAGAACTTAATATCTTAAAGTTATTGTAGGATAGAAATAGTACAAAAATTATAGGTAAGCCATTATCAGAAGATAAATAAGGACGGAATTGGGAATTATAGATGGTCAGGGTGGAGTTTAACTGATAGCCGAATATTGGTCAAAGTTTACCTGCCAGATGGTTCATTCATTCATCCATTCATTCGTCTACTTCCCACTGTGCGGGTAGTGGATAACTTAATCGTTATGGCAATAAAATTAAGCTCTATAAACACTACCATTATTATCTTTACATGTAAAGGAATTAAAGGGAGAAAATGAAAAAGTAAAAGAAAACTAACTTTATTTTGTTTGTTTTGGTTTTGGCTATATTTACTAGTAATAACTGATACATGTAGCTTGGATCCGTGATCTACAAAATTTAACGATAGCAGAGTAATGGCATGAAATGTGAACCGCAAGTCGTGTTGCGGCTCACGACTTGCGGTTCATATTTCATTCCAAAATTGCCTTCTTAAATCCAAAAACGAAGTTTGCGTTTCTTTACTTAACAGATGAATCCAAGATCACTAAGATCATGGTGCATCAAACAAACCGAAGAATCCACTCTAGGCAAGGATTCTTTGGTTCAGTTGATGCACCATGATCCGAGTGATCTTGGATTCATCTATTTGGTAAAGAAACGCGAAATCTGCTTTTGGATTTAATAAAGAATCCAATATTGGATTTTCTGAAAGAAATGCACTTTATATCTTTACTTAGGAGTTATTGGGTGAGAGGTTTAACTTGTGGCAGATCAAGAATGCGAACTCAACGAGAGAGTTCTGCAATGACCTTCTCATTCAGCTTAAACAAACACATCTGGACCCAGTCCTTCAACAACTTCGGGGTAAAGGAGGGGCCCAACTTTCTTTTGACGACATCATTGGCGGATATAATCGGATTAAAGACGAGTACGACAAGTCTGCAATCGGTGCCAAAGACGTCATTGCTGCAGTGTTTTTTGAGTTCCATCCAGTAAGTCAAAGGGACGCTCAGGGCTATATATTCGATCTTATGAGTTTACCACCTGTTTTGAGACATTTCAATTTGCCGAGGCTAGGAAAGAGCTGTAAAGTTCAGCCGGATACGAATAGTAAGATATCACGTCCCAGGTACTTGTATTCCTTCGATAAGCTGTAAAACTTTGTTCAAAACACATCAGTACAAGAGAAAAACACTTAACTAAACATTTTCTTCTCGAATCTCATCGCCCCAATATTTTTAAAACGACCAACGACCAGCTAAGTAACCAAAGCCGGATAAGTAGTTTCTAAAGCATTAGTCACACAGCGTCTGCGGGCAAGTGGAGTATTTGATCGATTGTCAGTATTACCTTTTTTACCTTTTTGGGAACGCACAGTAAGGGAGCCTCCCTTGGTTTGTAAAATTCGATTGACAATACTTTTTGTGACTATTTTAGGCACTGTTGAAAGAGCAAGAGCAATACCTAGGGCTGCTGAGGCAACTGAAAGACTATGATGAGAAGCTCACACAAGAACTAGCAGCTAAGGCTTATCAAGAGCAAGAGAAGCAGAGACTTGAGGTACAGTTCGCATCTTTATTCTTGGCTGGTACTGTGGATAGATAGTTATATATGCCTTAATTAAGCAATAGAACAATTTTTCCATGTTTACATAACCTCATCTAAACACGAGGAGCGTTCGGAGAATTCGAGACAGTTATGCAAANGAGCAGATGGACAGTGAACTGCGGGCTCAACGAGAGCAGATGAACAACATGATGGAAGCAAATATGGAACAAGCAAAGCAGGAAAAAGAGCGATTCATGCAAGAAAATGAAGAACTTAAAAACCAGTTCTTGGCCATGCAAAAAACAAACGAAGAGAACATGAAGATGATAAAAAAGCTGTCCGACTTAGTGTCTAAGCAAGAGGAAGAGAAACGGCGTCTAGATGAACAGATGGAGAAAGCGAAACAAGCTGAAAGTAAAAGGCAAGAATTACTACAGAGGATGGAGGCTCGGCACAGGGAAGAAAAGGAGAAGCTGCGTCGCGAAATGGAGACGAAGATAGAGGCTCAGCGCAATGCTTTAACAGAAGAATACCGAAAGGCCGCGGAGTCTAGAATGGACATGATGCATGGTATGCAGGAGCAGCTAACGCACGTTGAAAAGCAGTTAGAGGAAGTTAAGAAACCAGGGTTTATGAAAAGGGCTATTACAAAAGTAAAAGAGTTTGGTGGTGCTGTTGTTGACAAAGTCAAAGAAAACTGCTCTGTAATGTAACAAACCAAGACGAGTCCGGTGCCATTTGAGAACAATAAAAAATTGCTTGTTAAGTTTTTGATACTCAGAAGCCTGTAAAGGATGCAATTAATTGTAATGCAATCTTTGCATAACATTGTTAATAGTTTTCATTTAGCTCTTGTGAACCGAGCAGGAGGTCTGTATGAGAGAATCTTGACCGGGATCGTCAGTACAGACCGAACGCAGTGAGGTCTGTACACACGACCGAGGTCAAGATTCTGTCATACAGACCAACTAAGCTTTTGCTTGCAAACGGCGATGAGCTGAACTTAAATCTGCCAAATTTTGCCCGTCCTGTTTACTTTTTTTCTCAACAGGCATTTTTGGCACTTCTACTAATATTCTTGGAATAAAAAAATAGTCAATATTTTTTTGTATTTTAGTTTGCAACGTTAATTTTTTCACCGCAAAATGTAATCGGTCTAGATGAGTCAGATGCCGGTCTAGATGGGAAAATCTAGACCTCGGTCAATATCGATTTCAGCGAATCAAATTCGTGAATTCTGTAGTTCCCGGTCCTTTTGAGACAGCCGTATAATACATGTAAAACAAGATATAACATATCTTAGTCTTATGTTAGTAGTTCCCGTTCTACCAGAAGGTAGATTTTGGACGTGATAGTTGTTGTGGTACTTAGTCAGTTACAGGTCTGTTCAGGAAGCTTCCTCGGCCTTTTTCGTCGACCAACAGCGCCTAGAATATATATTATCATAAGATAAACAAAGAAAAACCAAAGAAATGGGAGTGGTTTCACACAATCGTAGGAGTGCTCGATACAAATACATGTAGAGCGAAATACAAATTGAGTAACTATAGTTACTCGAGTTTCACGCTTAAAGCGATCGTCAAACTGTGCTCTAAACAAAAGATCTGAACTTTTAACAAAATGCCTGCACTAGAATAAGTTCTATGCAACCAATCAGGAACAGGATCGCTCCACACGCCCTTCATGAGTCACTTAAGATTTTGTTTCAACCGCCGCTATGAGCACAGTCTGATGATCGCTTTGAGCGTGAAACTCGAGTTACTGTAGTTTCTATCTCAATTTTTATCATAAGATATGCAGTTATTTCCATTAACTTTTAACCAATTTTTAAAGACGAAGATTCCTCTTTGCAAGGGATGGCCACACCTTATACTCATTTCATGAGTGTCGGAATAAAATTTGAATACATTATTTACTCTCTGTACGTGTTTCTTCACGAGAAATACACCGAAAATGGGTCATTTGGATTCCAAATTTGTCAGTTTGGGTATCCGACCGACCCAAAGCCAAGGACGACCCCAAGTAAACAACGCTGGGATTTTGCATTTACCTCCGAATTTTGCAATTGCCCAGATCTGTTTGCTGATCTGTCCAAAACCCTGGTCCAACTCAATATGCAGTGCCAGCAATCAATTCCTAAAGGAATATCAAAATAAGCCGTCTTGCCTTACGTTCTCAAAAATGTGCAAAACTTGGCCATTTCACGTTGATTGTTTTGTAGAGGATTTATAACAAACGGGCGCTGCACACCATATTGTTGCCGCCGTCGTGTTTGCTTACGCTCCCAGTCAAGCCTAAAAGCGGAGCACCTATAAAACAGTAATTATTTACTCGAAACACTAACCTCCTTAAGATATTCACCAATAAGCATTTCACCAAGCTGAATGAACCAAAAAAAACAAAACGAGGAAATCTCCATAAACGCAATACATGCCAATTTCCACTTGCGAGTGTCAAATCCTGTTTGCCTTCAAAGCAAAATTCCCGACGAAAGATGGGAGAGTGAAAGAACGGTTTAAGAAACTATGTTTAAGATGGTTTATCACTTTTTAGAAGCATAAAAACGTCTAGAATTTCAAAGACCACTAAGTTTGCATTCATACAGCGTGTTGAATCACCTTCACGCAATCAAGAATATAAATTTTTAGACGTTATTACATTTGATGCAACTAAAACTTCAGAAGGATTAGTAATTTTTAATTTGAAAAACGATGACGTCATATGAAAACCGGCCATTATTCACACTAAAGCTTGATTTAAACATTATTACCAACCACTTTGAAGTCATTCTATCGACCGTAGCTTTACGACCAGTCCTTAAAAAAATAGAAATCAACTTCGAAACAATATTGTAAGTTACCATTTTGTTTTCTGATGTCCTAAAAGCTGTATTAAATCCGCTACCTATATATTAAAACACAGTTGACTGTGCATTGATTATCATTTTCTTTGAAAGTAGTATCTAGGTATTCTTCGCTTTTTGATTTTCTCCTGTGGTGCCTGTTCAACATTATTTGCTGTTTTTTCCTTCTTTCAATTTTCTTTGTTATGAACGGAAACAAGGCCCTAAAAGCTTGCCAATTATCCGCGCGTACATACCAACGTGACAGTCAGGTGGCAACCAAAATCTTTCAGTTACATCGTGTTACATGGTCTGCAGAGATGTTCTTTGTCGTTAATTTTTTTTTCTCTTGAAATGACGGTATGTGGCTTCACTATTGCAATAAATATCTTAAACACATCCTTCGCAAAGGAGTCGTATTTAAGGTGGCCGAACACAGTTTTCGCGTGCGCTTTTGCTGATACAATTCAGCGCGCGCACAAGGATTGGAAAAAAAAACATGCCGTCAATAGAGCGATCATTTTATTTACTCGACACCCGCATTATCTGAGCTATTTTTCCCTACGATTGAACGCAGTGTATTGATGGCTTTAGTCTTTTATTACAAAGGTATGTGAGAAAAGGTAACGATGCAAAGAACCCAGCAATTCTCAGCTTTTTCTTTGTTACCAAAAGAACCCAGTTAACTGCAGCGCATGCGTAGTAAGTAAAAAAATTGCGATTAAATGAAAAATTGCTCTCTTGGAAATACGCCTATTTCTCGAGAACTACTCATTAGAATTTCACAAAATTTGGCACAAAAATACTTTAGGAAATAAGTAACTGAACTACTGAAAATAATTGAACTTTAACAAAGGATATTCTAGATATACCAGTGAACCCTCAAGAAGGGATAATTAAAGATCTCTCTGTTAAATTATTCACAAAATGGTATTAACTTGTGAGAATCGTTACAAGCTTGCTGCATGCAAATTATAGAGAAAATCTAATGACTAGATTTTCTGCAAATAAACAAAACTGATTTTAAAGGCCTGTCTATATTTATTCATGTTGCCATGACA